GACCTTGTTTTACCACAGATATATACACACAAAAACACAGGTGCTCTGAGGTGACCATGCCTGTCCTAAAGAGAGATGCCTAGTGCTGTGTTTGCTTGTGTGTGTGTCTGTGTCTGTGTGTCTGTCGCCTTGGAAGTAAATTCTACAAAAGTCATTGCCTAATAATCACTATAGGCTCATGGAAGTAAGATGGGTGTTTTCTCTCTTCCATAACAAGGTAGACAGAATATGAAGCAGTACATAAGACACCAAGTAAACACGATAAAGTCAGCCATTGCTCAGATATTTTTGTCAGGGAAGAAAGCATTTGAGAGCTTGGAAGATAAAGTGCCCACAGTAAAGAAATTATTTCAGCCTCTTCTGTATTGCTTCACTGCATCCAATCTTTCAAAGAGTAAGCAAAAAGCCTTTAAATTCCCTTTTCTTTGCTTGTCTTGTTAGATCTAGCTGGCAGTAAAAAACAGGGATTGATATTATTTACAAACTAATATTTTAGATATACTTTTAAGCAGCAACATTTCCAGTCACATCAGCCTAGCTTGATCCACATCTTCATGAGACAACTGAGATGGCTAACAGAGGCTGTTCTTGGTAGAGTTTTATTTGCAACCTTGCATACTATCTGAGTGACTAGGAGGGACTTTCCTGGGCTGTATATCTACGTATCCGGCGCTAACCAATTATTTCTTCCAGCCTTTCATTTCAAAGAGAGCCCCACCTCTCTTCTGTATTCTTCTTTCCCTCTCTTTCCTCAGTTGGTGGCAGCTGTTTGTTGCTGTTGACCTGGCTGGTTACTTGCTAGTATGTGTGCAGTAAAGAAAGCAGTGTACACAAGTCAATACAGTAATTTCAAGCAACTGTAAGTAAAGCAACTTTTAAAATTATTTTTCCTGCAAATGTTTCAGAGTGAGTTACTGAGACTTTTAAGTACCAGCTAATGAGAAAGGAGAAGGCTCTGGGGAACTTATAGTTTATTCTCCTCTGTTGATCTCTGTACTTCTACTGTGTAGCAAAAAGAGAATTTTACCAGAAATTCAAAATTCTGCAACAGTTCTCATGTTAGTCCCTGGCCTAAGGTATTACCTTATATAACAATACTTCCTGTTCCTTCTGAATTCAGTCTGTCTAACAGAAGGATGGCGTAAAGGAAGTACATTCAGATATTTAAAAGCTAGATTCAAACCCTCTGCTGTCATACTCCTCATGCAAAAGTGACATTTCTGAAAAGGAGACCTTGTTCTATCCACTGGCTCTACTCCTGAGCCAAAACACTGTTTTGCCCCCCACCATCACCACCACCACATTATTGACCATGAGTATAGCTCACATAGATACAACTGGCTTTCTTCTTAAAGGACATCCTTTTTGTGTGCAGAAAGTGAGGAAGTGTGAGAGGGGGTCTAGTTGCACTCCCCTCCGTCAGTGTGAAATTGTTACTGTTTTTTAGTCGTTTAGTCGTGTCCGACTCTTCGTGACCCCATGGACCAGAGCACGCCAGTGTGAAATACATCTACCTTATTAACATCTGAACAGGGCAGCAATGGATACCCAGTGTGGCCTAGTGGACAGAGTAACAGACTAGGACTCAGGAGGTCCGGGTTCAAATCCCCACCCAGCCATGGAAACTCACTAGCAATGTGGAACTTGTAAAGTCACTCCTTAAATATCACACTTACCTAGAAAGCCCTATTAGGGTCTTTATAAGCTGGTTTCCACTTGACAACACATAACAACAGGACAGCAATATTCCCTAAATCAGAGCTTGGAAAAAGCATGTTTCTAGAGTACAGTCCCCAAAATCTCCAGAGTGAAAGTTTTTCACATGTTTTATAAAAATGAGGCTATGACATTCAGATTATACCTTCCCAGAGAATTGTATCTTTCCACTTTAAAATAAGATTTCTAAACTATTCTTACTGTTCTAAACAATTTCTTTGCCAAAGGGTTTGGCTGATTTTGCTTTACTGCTTCAGTTGCCTTTATCATGTGTACATTTTAATGCTTTTGTTATATTAATATATAACAGTGGCCTTTAGTTGACATTTTTCTCGAAAGGTAGGATATAATTTTGGTCAAAATTTAAAAAAAAACCTAGGCTCAGAAATTGCCTACAAAATAATTACAAAAGACTTCTTATATATGAAAGGATTAATTAAAAGAAAGTTTAATGAAAGGTCATATCCCTTCAGAGAATTTTTAGAAGCTAAAAAAAAAAAAGTTTAAATAAAATGCAATCCAAAAACTAAATGAAGGCCTGAACAAGTGCTAATGGATGCCAGCATGGTTAAAGAACAAAGCTATTGTGAGTGAAGAGAAAGTAGATTTCTAGCTTCTGTTTGGTAAAACCCAAAGGTCCATCAGCCAGATCCTGGTGCCAGCAGTGGCTCAGAAAAGAGGACACATGCCATATATCCTTTTCATTACCTTAGTTCAGAAGAAATAACTTTTCATTGATGGAATTGTTTTTTAAAAAAATGCACATGCCTTCTTTGATGCACACATTAAGGTTGGAGTGTTTCAAGAAAGCTGAGAAGAAGTTGAGTTCTGTTATGACTTTTGAGTTGAAACTCCTAGCAGAGTCACCCAAGATGGAGTGGTCAACGCTGAGATAGCAAATTGTGGAAACTTACCATCTATGCTCTCCACCGATAGCTGCAAGCCAAGATTGTGTTGTGGATTTACCACCCAGTGATTACTAGTCGCAGTAATATCAAACACCAGCCAGCCTTCTTCTGCCGCCCAAATTGTCCGAGTGTCAAGTAAGAACAAATCCGACTCTCTGGAAAGACAAAGGGAAATGAAAGTAGGCAGAAAACAGCTTTCAACATGGTCACGATTTCCACATAAAATGAAGACGACCTCACATTTTACGCAAAAGGGCCGCAGTTAACATTATACAAACAGGCAAGGAAGATGCAATGCTTATAAATAAGAATGTATTCAATTATGTTTAAATGTACTAAGTTTCGTGAGGTGTTTTTTTTTTAAAAAAATAAGACTGCTCATAATAAAAATAGAAAAATAATACGAAGCAAAAATTTAAACAAAACTGATG